CCCCCTCAGCCTCCCACTTTCTCCGGCTCCCAGCCGATGCGCTCCTCGTCTCCAAAAAGCTCCGTCTCTCCACGAGCATGTCCTCGCGCAGACATGCAGCCGCGGTGCCATGAAGCGGACCAAAAAGACGGCGACAGCACAGCACGCGCGCAGGTAAGCTCATACCTGAACACCCCCCACACACACCACCACCACCAGCAGCAGCCCCCCCACCCCCTCCTCCTCTGTATAGGCTACGTCAAAATCAGCCGGAATGTCTGAAAGGTTTTTATCTAAACCAGGAGACTGAGCTGCGGTTCTGCTCAAGGACATTCCGACAGAAGGACCTGGCTGTGGTCAGAGGTTGCACCTGCTGCTGGACTTTTTTTTTTCTTTTATTATTATTATTATTTTTTTTGTTTTGACCACCATCTTTTTTTATTATTATTATTACAAACGTCGTGGTCCTTCGGTGCGCAAAACAAAGACAACGAGGTGGGAAATTGCAAGTTTTCTGCAAGATTTCAAGATTTTTTTAAAGTTGATTTTTGTTGTTGTTGTTGTCTAAGAGAGAAGTGGTGTGTAACTTTAACACCAGCTGCTTTAATMAAATTAAATATGAAGCAGAAATATCTGATTAGTCCTGCTTCACATGATCTATTTTATGGATTTAATTTAGTTTTTTTCTCATTATTTAAATTCCATGAACGTTTCGAGTCAGTATTACGCAAGAAGGGAAAACGGTCACTCTGCGCCAACGTTGCGCGCGCTCTCATCAAATGTCCATCACTGTAACAAGCGTGGAGCTGCATGCTCTTTTTCCCGGTTTCCTCCTCATTTCAGCTCATGTTTGTTTTATTTGCATTTATTRTTTTGTTTCAAAGACATTGCGCAGTGGTTCAGAGGAAATCACCTGCGCTCTTTTGGATTCGGACAAGTGCGTAAATTCTCTCCAAAACGGTGTTAATCCCTTCATGTTTTCCCAACTAAAAAATCCGGTTCCTTTCTGATTTATTGAAACATATCTTATATTTTACACCCCCCCTCCCCCCACAAAAAAATCGCTTCCTGTAGCGCGCGTGTTCGCGCCGCGCGTTCAGTTTCTGCGCGCTCATCGGTCGAACGACGCGCAAAAGCCGCGGCTCTGCACCAACAATCACCCAGTATCCCGTTCAAACTGTGCCRAATCAGACGGTCGCGGCCACAACAGGCGCGCGTAAAAGCGCAACAGCCTCAAACTGAGATGGGTCTGCCCCCCCCCCCCCAAATAAAAACGCAATGAATGTCTTTACAGATCGCGCGCTCTCAATAAACCCAGCTGAGGACGCTGGGGGATCCGTGTTTTAAACAGGTAAAGATGATTTTTTTTAACAGTTTGTTGCAATTTTAGTCTATTCTGTTGTTTAGGTGGATAAATGAGAGCAGAGGGAAGAAACTGAGTGGATATTTGGGGAAGCAGGGAAGTTAGATTTRGTTGTTGTTGAATTTTCACTTGCAGGGACCATGTTGCTCCAAAACTGGAAAGGATTCTGCAGTTCTGACAGATTCACTGTTTGACAAGAAACAACCTGATGGGTCTCATTTTGCTGTGGATTTGATGACTTTTAGGCTCATTTATGAGCACCAAGTGATCTCATTGAGTTGGGTTGCTTTCTTTACTGTTCTGCTTTAGTTTCTTGCATCACAGTTTAGAAAAGCAACAAGTTTCCTTTTTTATTTTTATTTTTTTTTAACATCTACATTCCAGTGATAAAGCTGTGACAAGTTCAGAATTAAAGCGACAGAAACAGTCCCGAAGATGTCACTCAACCTTTTTAGGTTTTCCTACCTGGGTTTAAAAATATATCAGGACCCAAAAATCCCCCATTTTTCCTCCTGTTTGGATCACAGCAGGTGCCAAACACATTCCAGAGGAGCATTTTTACCCCCCTGTATAAATACAGATTAGAAAATTTTACAGTTTCCTAAAAGCAAAGAAGCAGCTTAAATTTAAACKAAATGCAACAAACTAAAATACACTTTAATGATTTTTTTTCCTCTTTGCATGAACTTAAAAAAATAGAAATTTCGTCCAATTTTCCCACAACTTTACATGCATTTTTAAACGTTACGTCTTGTTCTGGGACCCATTTCCTCCTCTCTTGTCTAAGCTGACGTTGATGATTCCTGATTTGGTTGATGATTTTATTTATTTATTTATTTCAGTTTAGGTCTGAGGTTCTTTGAGGACTGCTCTGTGACTTGCCCTCAGCTCTGCTGCATAACGAATATGACTGCATGTGAGCTGGTGCAGATGTATAAGTTTATTGTGTAAAATCAAATGATGATTTATATTTGACGTTACTACTTACAGACCAAACATACAGTTTGATTTGCTGACATTTTAATATCAAAATGACGCCATCTGTTTGCTAAAAAAATTTATTTTTTTACTCTCTTAGCTGAATTTAGATGGAAAAAACAAAAAGAAGCTGAAGGAGGGGAGTCCTGCCAAAGCTGCATCCCAGCATGAACACATATTTCTSTTTCTGTGCATTTGGCAGCTCTTCAAGAGGAGGTTGCTTTTGTTAAATAATAAAAAACAACAAGTTAAATTTAAACATTGGGATGCATCATCTGTGGACGTGTATGCGCGTTGATTGGAGAGAGGCTGCAACATTAGCGAATCTTTGTATCTGGCACGCACAGAAAGGAATGTCTAATTAGCACGCTTTCAACCGCAGCGAGCGAGCTCCTGCTCTAATCGCAGTCTTTTCTTGTCATTACACCCTTATTTATTTTATTTTCCCCTTTTTTTAACAGAATTAAAATGTTATTTTTTTGTTGCTGTTGTTTCGTCCCCGCGTATAGGCAAATCATGAAAAAAAACTGCTCAGGGTAATGTATGGAACTGTTCCGGAAGAGGAGATGAAAGGAGATTTCAGGATGGAGTTTGACATAAAATGAATGTGTTTATGTTTGGGGGCGGAGCTTGTGCCGCCGGTGACTGACAGAGTGGGGATGGCTCTGACGCACACGGGTATCTAAAAGTGGATTTAGGCCTAAATGTGCGGTGTGTGGCCGCCGGATGATGGAGCTTTTCCCGCCCTGATGCAGTACTCTGACAGAAGGACAAAAGGCCATCGTCCCCCCTTCCTCCTTATCAGATGCTGTGTGACTGCGGGGCTTTACGATACAAGGTGCCACTACACGACTGCATGAAGTGGCATTGATTGGAAAGGATGGGAGGAGGGCGATTCCTTCTTATAGAGTAACTTACCCCAAAAGTAACTTTTTTTTAGCTGATAAACTGTCTAG